TAGAAACACTCCAGGTTTTCTACACCTAAAATTAACTATCCTTAAAAACTTCAATGTTTTATATATACTTAGGTGTGTTGAATTTGGAAGCATGAGAGGGTTATCTAACCCACCTTAATATACTGTAAAATTTTCTGGAGGACAGCCAATTTATTGCACTTGAAGTTGTCTCTGGAGGATCTTGAGCAATACTTTACGAAAGGTCCGACAAGAGGTCGCTTCCATCATTATAAGGGTACTTCTGTGTTCTCATCAATCCACATCTCTAATTGTGAGGCATATAAATAGCCATATTACATTGCACCAATTTTTCCACTTAGCAGATTGTTCTCCAAGAGCAGACGTCTCATTTAACTTTTGCCATCTCAAAGTTAAAGGCTAAGTTAGTCATGTAGATACAGGTAATGTGAAGAGACAGGTATCTCCAGATTCTTCCTTTCTTAAGGTGGATATCTAGTACAGTGTCATCCAAACAGAGATTTACTCCACCTATTTCTTTGCACTGATGACAGGAGAGCTAACAACTAATTTAGCCTGGGCAATGATCCTTGATCTTTTGGAGATTAAAGTCAGGTAAGATAAATTTCACACTAATAATTGCTTCTGTGGGAACAGTCTGCATAAAGGAAAAGTCTCCTTACACCTCATCCAGCATATAGCTGCTGGATCATACCAAAATAATTATACCCAGAATTGGGGAATATAAGCCAAATGGCAAATAATCCAAGACCCATTTTTCTTTGTAGGTGTTTACTATTAAAATATGAATGTATAATACATGTAATTAGTTTTTCTTTTGCTTTACGTAGCAACTTTCCTGAATTGATCTGATGAGTGCAACTAGGACAAAACCACTTGTCAGAGACTGAGAATTTCATCAGAGTTCTTGGAACTTTCTTCATGCTAGCATGAGGAAGAATCACGCCTCTGAAATTCAGAAGTACTGACATAACCTCAGTTTGGAGTGTTGACTTAGGAAGTTACAGGGAAGTGAATATAACTCATGCTCTCCTAGCTGAAGTCCAAATGGTTTATGCTGAAAGGAATGAATTGCTTCTTGAAAGCAATGTTTTTACTCATTGAGAAAAATTGTGCTATGTTGCTTTCTCAGCTATATTTTTTCCTGTTTACTCTCATGTATTATTTCTTGAATGGGATTCATAACCCACTGAAACACATATATAAAGTAAGCTACATCTCCAGTTAAAACTAAAGTTCCTACGGACCAAATTTACCTAGTACAAGATCAGCATAGTTATCCTGAGTATGAATTGCCTGCAAATGATTAAATTAAACCTAATAGTTACAAGTGAATTAATCAGTAAATGTCTTAGTGAATAAATATGAACTGAATCTAGTGGGTGACCTGTGGAAGATAAATAGAAATAAGGTATTAAACAAACTGTACCAACCAGTGAAACATACTTGGTAGGGAATGAAATAAGCTGCTTGTCAGATTTTTATATTTTTGCCTATCACAAAGGCACATAAGTAGTGTTGAATGTAGATAATGTTTTCAGTACTGATATCCAATAGTAACGTTTTCCTCTATATTGTCTGAGCTTTGTAAAAGAGTCTTTAGGACCTATTGCTCCTGAAGAGAAAAGTATAGTATATAACCGTATGGATATGAATACCAGTAGTGATGAAAGTGAAGGTATTTATTCAAAATAACATATCAATTTGAAGATGGACTTTAGTATTTATTTAGTTATCTAGGTTAAAAGTGTTCAGCAATGGAACATGTGACTGACAACTTCTTTGATGTAACTCTACCAGGTATAAAGAAAGTCTGAAAGAATAAAAGATTGTAGGGCCTATTTTGCTTCAAGTGACTTTATCTTTACTTATGTATATTTACATGCATATATCCCAAGTAAATATATAGGTTTTTTTTACTTACACATCTCAGGAACACTGATTTCCTTAATATTATTTGAAGGTTTCCTGGTGGTCTCAGGTTTGTATGAGTTCTTCCAGCCTCAGTCAGAAAGCCCAAGAGTTGGTGCTGCAGCAAACACATGCTTTCTCCTAGGGATTTCTTCTGGTGATACTAATTTCTCTATGCTGACTAGATGCTCATCTAGTCTAGATGACTAACTTGGTCTGGATGCCTAATTTTGTATGGCACTATGGAATGTGTAGAATGACATAATATTGTGTAGAAATGTTGGATTAATTTCATATTTTATTCCAAAGAGACTGTGCTCTTTGTTCTGCTACAACATCTTGAAGGCAAACCAGACCTCCCCACCTACAGGTGTAAATAGTAGGAAGACTTCAGTCCAAAATGCTTTCCATATAAATTCAAATTTAGACAGAGAAATATCCCTAATGAAATATCATGTCATCAAAGTTGATCTATTTTCAAGTAAAGTAAGAGTAATAATGATTTACTTTAGAATAATGTCTTGAGTTCTTGAATGAGGGCAGGGACACATGCTACTTGTATAATATGTTGTCCGTACATGTAGTAAAAAGACTGTCTTGCCAAAACCTATAGGGATAATTCAACAGAATTACTTATTTTTAACCATTCATGCCAAAATATTAAATCATTCAAATAACTACAGAATCCAAATGGGAAAACTTAGGGAAGCTAAAATGACTTTTCTGTGATTTTACAAACATAAATCTAAAATTATTAAGTAAAGGGAAGCAATAATTCTTGGTTTACTTATTCCCATGATGTCTTTTTCAACATAGGTGTGGTTAAAAAATCTCTATTTCATTTATTTTTACAAGATTATTACATGGAAGCAGTTTGCTTTTTGTTATGATTGCAACCAGGAACATTTCACTGTAAAGCCCTATTTTTTTTCTTTATTCAATGGTGAAAAATTAGTTTTGTCTGAAAATTTCCAGGTTTATTATAACTACCAAATATGTTTCTGTAGAGTTTGAAGAAAATCGGTCGTACTCTTAAGTTTGTCTTTATAGGAGATTTTCTAAATTGAAGGTGTGAAATATTTCTAATAAAATTAGTTTATTAACAACTTTATTAGTTGCTTTTGTTGCATAATATATATTGTACGTCCACTCCTGCAGCTATTGAATTATGGTTCCTGGAAGTCCTGGACCTGATATGATTGCCTGTTCTGTCCTGTGAAATTTCACTGCAGACAGCACTGAGCAATGCCGATAGTCTTTGTGCCTTGCTTAGGCACTGAGGGCTGTGAAGCATTGGCATCAATCATTGTTGTAAATGATGATTGGGCTGCATTTTGCACTTGTATTGTGCTTAATGTGCAGATGTATAAATAATTGTACAGTGCAGCAATAAACTGAGTCTGTAAGTGTTCTCTCTGATATTTTTCACGGGTAGCAGCCCTTTTATAACACTAACAAGTTAGATGTCTAGGTAGAAAAATAATCCACTTTTCTACCACACATGTCGCACTGTCAAATAAAATAAGGGTTGTAGAGGCATTTCCAGTTTGATTTGTGGACAGGACTTTGCATCTGTTCACTGCATAAGGCAGCAGTCATGCACTCAAAGACGTGCATGTTAATGCATGGGTGAAATGGGGGCACAGATACAGGGGACATAGATTGATGTTCCATACATAACTGCAGTGCCCATTTTGCAATCTCAGCAGTATTTTTGTGTCATTTTATTTTGTTGTAATTTTCTTAATTAAGTCAAATACACAGAAAAAAAACCCCAGAAATTTCCCTCCACCTTGGTCATAAATAAAGTGAGATCAAGAGTTGTGCAACAGAGACCATCAGCATTTGAAACTAACTGAATAACTGTTAGAAATAGCAGGTTTCTGTAAATCTGGGATGAATAAAATAAGATTGTAAATTCTTGGAAAGTAAGAGCACCCAATTAAATATTGCCAGTCTTCACTTAAAGCTTTGTGTTGGATGCTGGAGAACTCATGATGATCCTATGTATTTTTACAATGGTTGATTACTGCCAATGTTCAAAAGGGTTCCTCATTTCCAGTGGAATTGACATAGTTTCTCACCGGTGGACCTCGCTGTGCCCCTATCTGATAGAAGGAAGTTCCAGCTACTACCAGAAATTTTATCTCCAGATGGGTAATTGCAGTCTGTGGTGAAATCACCTGTAAACCTCATCGATAAGAAAAATTGGCTTCATTACATCTCTTGTGTAATCCACATGGGTAGAATTACAACCTTTTTTTTTCTTCAATTTTCAAGTAAGTTTTTGAAACGTTGACAGAAGTAGCAGCTTCATAAGTAACTACTCTTTACTCCTACTTGTAATTCCATTTATCATACATCCAAAGAGCTGTAGCAACAGCCTACTCTGATGACTCATATTTAGCTGTTTATCCATGAGGTCTCATGTAGCTTTTCCAAGTTCACTGATTTCCTGAATGCAGTTTTTCATCTTGTGTGTGACCTACATTTGTTTCATTGCAATTGGCTGTATTGGAATATGAGTAAGTCTGCTTTAATTTGTTCCATATAATTTTTTTTGTTCCATATTTTATTCTCATTAATGGTTACTGTTCTATCAGTTTTTTGGCATCCATAATTTTCTTCAGCAAATAAATCGTATTTTCTTCCACATTTCTCATAAAGATACCGCATAGCATTGAAAGAATAGCACACCCACTTGGAATTACCCTGAAAATACCCACGTTGAATACTGATTGTCTTTCTCCAAGTTTTCAGATCATAGAATCGTAGAATCATAGAATGGTTTAGTTTGGAAGGGACCTTAATTCAGATCTCACAGTTTTTAATTATTTTATATGCTTAATACCTTTGTTCTGTTCTTCTATGACTGTCATTGGGCAGTCCTCAGCTACTACATAACTTCATGTATTTATTAGGAGGTTAGTAAATGATGAATATTGTTTGTTGGTGTAAATATCAGATGGGACTGTCCCTGTGACCTGTTCAGCCACATTCTGAAGCAGAGGTTCTCATTTTATTCTTCTCCTTTTTTTAAAAAAATCAATGTTTTCTGTTTTCAGTGTATTTCCTGTCTTAAAATGACCAAAGATGATATTGCAGTCAATTGTTTAATTTTACTTTAATGTCATATACAAAATATCCATTCTATATTGCAACAGAATATATTTTATATAAAATCCAATGTACAGTATCTTAAATTTGTTTAAATAGTATTATAAACATAACTTTCAGGAGGAGTCAGTCCTGGAGTGATGCAGTCTTTCATTAATTACAGTCCTTTTGATATCCCTGCTGTTCATTAAAAAATCCAGCTTAGATTCTAGAAGGATCCTTATGAGCTCAGATTTGGTTCCTATCAAAGCAAGAATAAACTCACAGATTATTTTTTTTTCAACTTTGTGTCCCCCACACAGCTAGCTAAAATCCTGTGCTGGGGTGTCCAGTTTGAATGTCATTTGACATCATCTGCTTCAGAGCTCATCATCATCTGATAAAGCATCAAGGTAATCTGTATCAACGTATAAGAGAAATCCAGAAAACAAACTGTCTGCCCACGTTGGATCAGAAAAGAGACCGTTTTGATCAGTGTAAAATATCTCAAGCCATACTTCATCTTCTGGCTGAAGGTAGATCACTGTGGATCCAGAAGCTACATCGTGGTTGCCTGTGTTTGCATCAAATGTCTTTATCCGGTACTTCCCATTGTGAACCAGCCCAATCGCAAGATGCTTGTTTGCTAACGTGATATCATAGGAAAAATAATAAATCCCTGGGATGGCACAAATAAACTTCCCTGTGGAAGGGTTGTAATGCTCCCCCTCATTGAAGAGGACTTTATTGAACACAATTGGTAATCTTTCCTCTGGGTAGCTGGTGGTGATGCCAACAGAAAAGGCAGATTTCAGTACTATCTTTCCACACTTACAGACCCCTGGTGCACCTGGCTCTCCTCGGTCTCCTTTATCTCCCTTAGGTCCAGGTGGTCCAGTTGCACCTACTTCACCTTTGGCACCCGTCAATCCTCCAGGTCCTTTTTTACCAGACTGACCTTGGTCTCCTTTCTCTCCAGCTGGTCCTAATGGCCCAGTCTTTCCTCTTAAACCTTCAAAAACATTTTAAGTTAGTTTAGTTGTTGCACATATCATCTGACTAAATGATTATGTGGGCTACTGTGTGTGCCTGAACAAACAAGAAAAATACAGTCAGAATTTCAAAATACCCCAAAAATACTTTCTAAATCTTCTAGTAAGTTTGCAAAATGTATGGCAGGTTGGAACAGAGGACCGAACTCCAGAGCCTGGGGGTCCTTTTTTTCTATGTTCCTACTTTTCTTCATACATCTTGATTACACATTGAAGAATTTTATATGTAATCAGTCCATTGCTGACTGAACTATGGGCACTGCTAATGGGAAGGACAACAGCATGGCCACCTATATGATGATACTTGTGCACTAAATATCTCGTACTATTTGAGTAATTTTAGGCTCTGCCTAAATACGTGTTAATCTTTTATTCCTGGATAATGGCACAAATGAGACTATTTCTTTAACACCACATGTGCTTCATTTTTCCCAAACTTTTTTTTAGCATCTATGTGCAGGAAGGCTATGCATTTACATTTATTTACACAGATTTCAGTATATGCATATAAGACATCTCTAAAATATGTCTGCATATTTTCTTTCTCTCACTATATATACATGCATCATACTTAAGCCCACAGAAGCACATACACACATTCATTGTGTATATATATATATATATGTATAACAGTGATGATGAAAGGTCCTACTTTTTCGTACTACTGTGTTAAGTTACACAAATATTCAATACCTGTGCTCCCTTTTTCACCTTTTTCTCCCTTCCTGCCATCTCTGCCATCTCTTCCTGGAAGACCAATGCGTCCATGTGGCCCTGGGGTTCCTCCGGCTCCGGGGGGACCTGCAGGGCCTGGCAAACCAGGGATGCTACAGATGTATCTGGTGTAGTAATTTTCTCCTTTGAACTGGCTTTGGAGAGGTTGTTCACTTGTGTAGATGGCAAAACTTGTAATGTAAAGCAACACAAACATCCTTGGATCTGGAAAAAATACACATATATAAGACTTTATGCGTATCTAGTCACATGGAGATGGCTCTGAATATGCTAATAAGTGTGCACTGTGCACAGGTACACGTGCAGAGATCAGCCTGGGATTTCTGCATTACCAGAAACCATGCAGGAGGCTAGGAGGAAACTCTGTCAGGTTGAACCTTATTCTGGTCACCATGTGTGCTGCTCTGTGTCTTTCAAGCAGCCTGTAGACTGACATAGTATAACTGGCAAATACCAGCTTTTTGGACCAAATTTTGACATTTAAAAAGAAAAAGAATCTGGATTTTTCAATGCAAAGTCCTTTGCTTGCATCATTTATTTTGTCTCTGGGACTGGTATAGGCTTTATGGAGAAGCACTCCCTTGCTGCAGAGGAGGAAGATGTGCCCAGAGCAGCCTCTCCTAGTGAGGACAAAGCTCACACCTTCATTTTGTTTTGAAATTTGCCCTAATTGTTGCAAATGAATCTCCAGCCTCAATAACCACAGCAGAAACTTGCTGAGCCTGCTGAAAGGAGACTAGCAAGAGAGCTGCAGCTTCAGTGGCTGGTTGGAAGCCCTGATGACCACAGCACAAATAACCACTTGCTGTAATTGGGCAAGTGGAATAGGGCAGCTGCCCAGCGGGGAAGGGGTGGAGTGTGGATGGGCTGCTAACAGGTTGGGGTTTTTTTTAGCCTGGCTTGGCCTCTCATGTAAAATGAACTGTGTTGCAGTATCTTGTAATAAAATTATTTGAAGCATTATATGTAGTAGTTGGGTGTTTTCATAAACCATTGAATGTAAATTGGATTTCTCTGTTCCACTACATACTGGGAGAGTAAATTAAAAATACTGTAAAATAAATAAAATACTGTACTTGTGCTGAGGAGTTGCAGTACCTGATACACAAAGGTGTCTTATATCAATGTTGCATTAGCAGAATCAGTCATGGGTCAGGTGAGATTTTGCAAGTCAAGCTGTTTTTTCTAGTTCCCTTGATAGCTTCTCAGAAGACTTGAGTGGGGTTTTTTGTTGGAGTTGTCCATTCCTTCAGAGCTAATTTACACCATTCAGGGAAACTGGAGTCCACTGGTTTCTGTGGGGAGAAAAAAAAATTGGGGGATTCAAGAAAAATATCTTTGTGAAATACTATCTGCTTTTTTTTTTTTTTTTTTTTTTGCCATGAAACTCATTCTCAAACTCAGAGTTAAAGAAGTTACAAAGTGAATCAATCTAGAAATCCTTGCTCCCTTTCCCTTCTTTGTGATACTGATTGTCATCAACTGATTCATTTTAAACCCTAAACCACTGCATTTATTTGCAGTTCATGGTATTTCAGCTGGTATATGGCATGGTCAAATCTATTCAGCAGGGAAAAAGACCAGCACATCCACATCCACAGTCCTTATGAAGAGTCTTTTCTATTTTACAGAATCAAAAATGAGAAACTGCATCTTCAATGGCATCAATGGCAATGCGGAAAAAAACCATGAAAATATTGTAGCTGGAGAGAAATAAGCGAAGCTCCAAAATTCTCTTCAGTGATGTATATTCTGCTTTTCATATTAAGCATCTTGTATCAAATTGGCAGAAATCAAACTATTAATTTTGCTGTCATTTGATAAAGCTTTACAGTACAGGCAGGCAGAACAGCCTCCAAGAGTGGATTAACATATGAATGTTTAACATTACAGCGGAGCAGTAAATGATAACTCCAAGGCAGCAGTTAGCTACAAGCGCAAACTTCACAGTGATGTTTGCTCTGATGTGCTGCTGAGTGTACCCAAATAAAGCTCGTGGATATTCATATGACTTAAATCAGGGACAACAAAGCTTTCTGCAGAGAAGAGAAACTTTAAGCACTTAGCCAGGAGGGAGCAACTTGGAGGGAGTTCATGCCCAAGACCGCATATGCATTTTACACAAAGCTGGTGGATAAGAAGCAGACATGACCTAAGGATCAAGGACAAGAACAGAAACTGCCCTTTGACAGATGAAAGTCTGAATGAGTAGGCTAGATGTTCCCACACTGTGTTGTTGCACATAAGCCAAGCAAAAACAATCTCAGCAACTGCTGGTTTTGCCTATGTCCAGGATCTTTTACACATCAGAGTAAGAGCCTTCACACAGCTGCTTCTGTCACTGGCTGGCCAGTAACTTATTGATATGTGAAGCTGTCTCCAGCTCCCAGACCTCCCCTGCTGTTCTTCTCATGTGCCTGCAGGAAATGAATTAGTCTAGGACATGTGTTTCTGCTAAGGCCATGGGAAAAATGTTGTTTGGGGAAGGTGAGGGGAATGAGGGAGTGAGATAGGGCTGTGCCTAAAATGGCTGGGGCATTGTGGCTGGAGAACCAGTTTGGGAAGGAGAAAGCATAGAGAGGAACATGGGGAACTTTCAGCTACAAGTTGGGGATCTTAAGGAGTGATGGGGATGTGAAGCAGAATGGTGGGACCGCAGGAAGGGGAACACACCTGGGATTGGGAGGAGATTGTGGTAATGTTCAGGTGATGATGTTTACAGCCCTGAATGTAGGCTTGGGGAAAATACAGGAGGCTGCTTCCAACAGTGGTACCCAGCAAATGACATTTGGGAAACCATGTGTTAGGCCACAGAATCAGGACTTGCTATTGACTTCAGACTCTTGCATTTCTTCCTGTGTAATAGTCCAGTTTTAAAAGGAGGGGTGGGAGGTGCCTCTCTGCTGTTGCAGCAGTCTCTTGGAAAGTGTGAATTTCCTCAGACCAAGGAAGGATGTACAACATCAAACCCGTGCCCCAATGTTTCCTGGTGAGTGCTCTAAAAGGTAAAATTTAGTGTTAAAGATGAATAATAACAAATGGCCATGCTTTTGAAATTTCAGGCTGAATTAGGAGGCCAAAATCAGAGATTTCAGTTCACTGGGATGTATGAAACTAGAGGGTGAGATAGACCTCACAGATCACCGTCTAAGGAGTCACTTATGTTGCAGTGAAATACTTGATCACAGAGAGTTAACTGGTAGACAGAAAGTGAGTCATAAATTACACTTTCATCCTGGCTTCTGGTTGTCCTTTTCAAAGATTCAAACTTTTGTCCATAAACTTGGGTAGGAAACAATGTCATTTACATATGCCAAAAAAATTTTCTTCAGGGGAAAACAACATTTGAGGAGTTTATTCTTTTTTCCAAATATTGAAAGCCAGAACAAACACGTGGTATTATTGTTCACAACAATAACAATCATCTTCATCAAAACCATCACCAAAAATAATAATGAGAATTACATGAACACAGGATTAGGATAGTGTTATTCCAAGTTTAGAAAATGGCATTTCAATAGGTTCCAAATCCACTAGGTAGAGCAAGAGTGCACGCCAAGGCGTTCAATGGAAGACAATGGACATGCTGATCAGTTCTAATGTGCAGTGATTTCTGGAACAGCTTTTCTAATTGAGGGTGGCAGATTCATTTATTCTGTCACTGTTCAAATTGCACAAGCAGCATAATCACTGCCCTTGTGCGTAAATCCAAAAGATGATCTGATTCATTCAATATTGGAAAAAATATTTAAAAAGCTATTCTGGACCTAATACCTTGTTGTAGTCTGTTAAGGTGACAGATCTGAAGAATCACAAGAAGCATCAAAAGCAGCATGACCAGCGGGTTGAGGGAGGTAATTTTCCCCCTCTACTCTGCCCTTGTGAGACCCCACCTGGAGTACTGCATCCAGGTCTGGGGCCCCCAACACAAGAAGGACATGGACCTGTTAGAGTGGGTCCAGAGGAGGGCCACGAAGGTGGAGGGCTGGAACACCTCCTGTATGAGAACAGGCTGAGAGAGGGTTGTTCAGCCTGGAGTAGAGAAGGCTCTGGAGGGACCTTGTTGTGGCCTTTCAGTACTTAAAGAGGGCTTATGAGGAAGATAGGGACAGACTTTTTAGCAGGGCCTGTAGCGATAGGACAAGGGGTAATGGTTTTAAACTAGAAGAGGGTAGATTCAGACTAGATATAAGGAATATATGTTTTACAATGAGGGTGGCGAGACACTGGAACAGGTTTCCCATAGAGGTGGTAGATGCCCCATCCCTGGAGACATTCAAGGTCAGGCTGGACGGGGCTCTGAGCAACCTGCTGTAGTTGAAGATGTCGCTCATTGCAGGGAAGGTTGGACTAGGTGACCTTTAAAGATCCCTTCCAACCCAGACTATTCTATGATTCTAGGATCTACCTTGAGAAGATACTCTGTGTTGCATTCCCATCGAAACAAGGTGCTGGGAAGAGGCTCTTTAACATCAGGCCTTTAGGAAATCTCACCTCATTACTAATATATGCAGACTATGTTATTAACATTTTTTTAAACTAAGGAATTAAGGGATTGTAGTAAATTCCCAGTTTTGAGACTTCCTGGTATATAATCTAATCTTCCTCCCTTGTCCAGGTATGCAGGTCTTAATGCTAACATTTACTAATTGGCATTGTTTTGAAACAATCCTAGAAGGTTTTCCATGAATCTGTTATAAATAAAAGCTGGGTCAAAAGCCAGTACGTATTAGTCACAAGTTATCCTGGCTGTGTTCTTAATTTTGTCTTTCCTTGAGACACTTTGAACAATTAGCTTGAAATCTCATTAGCTATGCCTGTCTTTTCCGTCTCGAAACATGATCCACCAAAATCAGTTATGTCTGCATGACTGAAGGGTCCAAACCTGACATTCAATTTGCCACCACCACTGACCTTTCTACAAGCCTCAGAAACAGTGTCTTGCAGTTTGGCATGCCATGGTCTGCAGTTTCTTTGCATTGTATGATTTTTATGCTATTTAAAATACAAGTCTTAATTATGGATTTTTTTCCCAGGTATTTTACATTGATCCTTCACCTTCAGTTGGGCGCAGGTTTATGCATCTTCCATCTGTTTTATGTTATGGGGACTATGCTGGACTTCCAGAGCTTCACCTGTAAGACCATGCCTTACTCTAAGGAATCAAGACCACAGCTGGTCACCGCCACACTCCTTGGGTTAGCTATGTAATCTTTACTTTATCTTTGTTATCTTTACTTCCCTTGTGTATAAGGAAAGGGTGTCCTGATGCTTTTTGAGCAGTTTGAACTTTTGATTCCCAGTCCCAGAATGGCTGATAGTGCCAAAAGGGATCAATCAGCCAGTGGGATGGAACATTAGCCAAATATTTCTAAGAAAACAATCCTTGAAGGCCTTATTATCAATGCCGTCGTTTAATGGTCTCACTCAAGTTTGCACTGAGTCATATTTGAACAGTCTTCTTCATGACTATGTCGAATGCAGTTAGATTCTTCAACCACATCTCAAGCCTTCACAAAAAATAGAGTGCTTATTATCAAGACCAGAAGTTAAATGTGTTTGATTTTCAAAATATCAAAGGAGTGGGAATAATTTTATTTCTCAGTCTCTGACTTGAAACATAGTGTCTCTTTCTGGTTCCAGCCATTCCTAATATTTGGAAGGTTATTTTTACTAAAAATGCCCTAGAAGCTGGTCAAGGCATGTATCAGTGAGGTAGTCTGACTCAGCTGGGGGGGAATTTTAACATGAGGGCTGGCAGGCAAAGCAGTTTTTCTGCCAGCTGTGCCAGAACACACAAATAAATGAAACCTGACAGAATTTGTCTTGACAAAGGGCCGAGAAGCTAGGCTAGTTGCTTACAGTTGCCAATTAACATGGAGACAATAATATGTTTGCTTGCAATGTAGTGAAAAATGGCCAGGATTTAACACTGGAAGCCTCAGGATACATGTGGCTCTATACCTCGGGTACAGGCTTCTTTAAATGGTTTTCTCTATTTTCTTAAAATTAAAAAAAAATATGTAGGAGCCATAAATCACAAGCTGTCTTCAGAGATGAACTGCAATTTGCAGGGTTGGTTATGAATCTGAAGCAGAGTCAAGCATGTGGAAGTATGTAAGCATCTAAAGATCTGGGTAGATGCCTAGAGCAGTGTGTCTGTCTACCAGGGTGTGCCTTTCAGTTCAGGTAGGCATCTTCTTTGTTCCTCCCCAGCCTTTGATGAAAATTTCCCTCTCCTGTCTTAGATCGTTCTGCTTTACCAACTTTGCTATGGTATAGGAGAAATGGAGAA